GAAGGCCACGTAAGTTGTAGCAAAGTCCCGATTACCACGTTGTCATCCATCCGCAACGCGTTTAATTTACTTCATATGCAACAATGTGGATTATATTACATACAACGATCTGCCTTACATTACATACAATGATGCGGCTTATCTTACATGCAACGATGTGGATTATATTACATGCAACGATCTGTCTTACATTACATACAACGATGCGACTTATCTTACATACAACGATGTGGATTATATTACATGCAACGATCTGTCTTACATTACATACAACGATGCGACTTATCTTACATGCAACGATGTGGATTATATTACATGCAACGATCTGTCTTACATTACATACAACGATGCGACTTATCTTACATGCCAACTAACCAGCTGCGGTATTATTCTGGCGGAATCAAACATAAAAATCATGAAGACATTAACCTCAGTGGCAGCACCTTCCCCACTGATCGCTCTTAAAGCAAATATCTTCATGCATCAATCCGTCAAAATGCGCCGAACGCAAGTACCGTAATCTTAATGTACAAGCACGAAGTACGGTAACGCTGCAACTTAGCATTTGATACATATATTACGTGCGTTTTCTCGTAGTGTTAAGTGGTACAGAGACACTCACGAACTACGCTCGGACGAAAAGTTCACGATTGAAACTAAAGATGGCAGATACATTTTGCGCATCAAGAATCCAGAGGTCACCGATGTCAGTCAGTACAACATCAAATGCAACAAAGTGACGTCTGCTGCACGACTCGTCGTAATCGGTAAGGCTGCATTTTAGTCGCATAAATTACATGTGTTTAATGTACCAAGCGCACGATGAGTTTCTATTTTGCCTATACGTTTGTAACCGATTGTACTCATCTCTTTAACACACAAAATCTTGGCTGAGTGATCGCGTTTTAGTAACAAGTACAAAACGATGTATTTTTTTTCTATCCATGCACCCACCTTGCATGTGTCTAGGTCAATTGTTAGTTTTACTTACGGAAATCGTGGAGAAGTGTTTAAAAAATAACTTTACGTCGAAAAGCAAATTGCTGGAAACTTGTCTAACTTTGATATATTTTTTCTGCAGTTGCGCCCAAGATTAAGAAAGAATTCATGCAAGATATTAAGATGAAAACAACACAAACATTATCATTCGAAGTGCCCATCAGTGGTGTACCAGCCCCGACTGCTACCTGGAAAGTGGGTGACAAGGTTGTCAAGTCAAAGGGCAGGTATGTGCAAACGGCATTACATTCCTTACAGAATGATTGCGTCGTTAATTAAGATAATTTTTAATTGACAGTTGGAAGGGTCTGGAATCAGTATAATCGGACTAAGTAATCATGTATCAAAAATATACTACTATATATATATATATATTTATATATATATATATATTAATTAGTTTCCCTGCAAAATGTTCAAGTGCTTGTTTCACATTTACCGCGTCGTGTTGGATGCAGTCTTAGGTTTTATTGAGTCGACCGTCGAGCTTACGGATTATTGTAATAACAATACTGCGTACCAGGCAAAGTAGCTAACAAGGGTTTCCGTGGCTATAAAAGCCAAGGTTTCGCACAGCAGTGTCACTACACAGTCACGTAACGCTCTCACTGGACTAAATAATATGGGTCACCCGTCATATTTATCCATACTCGTGCAGAGGCGCTTCGTACGTGCGCGCATTCGTAACTGCACACATGCGCGTATGCGTGTATGTGCGCGAACGCGTTGCATCGTTAGGATTGCGCGTGTCCTATACATTACGCGGCGCAAACAGACGCAATAGCGTTTCATCAAAATAGCTACCGTCATAATAAATAAATCATTAGTTGGCTTGACAGCTAGTGTTACAAGTTGGTAACTAGAAAGTCTGGACGCGTGCAAAACGTTAGCGACGAGTGGAATATTCTACTAACGTGTTATCTCGACATCATATCGAATACTCTATTAAAACTGTTGTGCGATCACAACCATGGGTGACGAGAATGGATTTTTGGTTTCGAAAGCAACCTGAGTAACGCCAGGTCCCCCCACCCACTAATTCATATGTTTACCTAAATGTTTTCACCACAGGTTCAAGATAGAGACGACAGAGAAGTTAGCAAAATTGACAGTTAAGAATACAGAACAGGAGGACAGAGGAGAATACACATTGGAAGTGAAGAACGAAGCAGGCAGTGACTCGCACACTGTTGCAGTTACCATGCTAAGTAAGCTACCTGCAGCAACATTTGCGTTATTAGATGCCGCTAAATGTATATACTATA